TTTGGGTAGGGTTGTTAAGCAAAGCAACCCAGCTTGTTGTTAAGCAGGACTTAACTCTTCTGTCTATGCCTCTCTCAGAGTTCTATAATAATAGACATGGGCCTCAGACATGGGCAGCCTCTGCCTTCATTGCAGGGACCTCTAAGTCCTGTTGAAACTCATGCTGTTACACTCCATACAAACCCCTGAAGATATTGAACCTGAATTCCTATGCCAGTGCTGTGGTAAGGAACAGGGTAATTTTGGTCTGAAAAATATATCCAGTTCAGGGACAGTATCATCCATGAGTATGTACTGTGGCTGATAACAATTCTCATAGAACTCATAGGTGGTACTGCAGTGAAGACAAATAAACAGGAAAAAACTCTTAGGTTAGGAAACACCCTTAATACAAGTGCTTTCATCTGCTTGAACCAGTCCTGTGTCCACATGGGGAATAAGATCAAAGTGTCAGAATCTAACCTTAGATCCCTGTAGTGTGTCTGTTCCCTGCTTTATTTTGTCCTCTCTGTGTCTGGTGTCAGGTTCTTCAATTTGGGCTTGAGGCTCTGTAGGACTCCAGAGGATGTCCACTGTTAGCTTGGCTGAAGGCTAGGAGATCACTGAGGACAGTTGTGATTAATTTACTTAAGTGTTCACTGGATCAGTGGTTAATAAGTGATGAGTGATTAATAACTTTCTCTTGAATACCAGATTTGAACTACTGGTGTGACATATACAATTCTATAAACTAATCTGTTGACACAGCCCTTTGCAGAAACTTTCTCAGGCTATTATAAAACATTTACATAGTAAAAAGTAACTCTTTGACCAGTATAATTAATGAAGTCTAATTTCTGGGATGTCTTCTTCCCATTATCCAGTGCTTGTCCACATTTTCTGTCTTTTGAGTAAGCAGCAGTATATGGCTGTCATGGACCAGTGAGCATGCTTACTGGTTGGCATGTATGGACATGACTGCTCAGCCTACTACTGTGTCTTGTAGGCAGCAGGGGGTGGACATGAGACATGCTCTTTCCTCAATAAGGTTATTGGAAGCTTTCTTTTCTACTCTGTTGTCCCTTTTCATCAATCTTTTAGGATTTTTGTCTTTTAGAGGCACTTATTTCTGTATCAAATGAGTGTAATTAGATTGTGAATTTTAAGTTATATATGGAAGACTTGAGTAATGGCATAAATTATATTTTCCATGGAAAGTCATGCAGAAGAAAAGGTATAGGAGGCAACCTAAGGTAGAAAACTAGAGATGCTTGGACTTAAAAGTCAGCTTTGATTCTTCTTGAGCACCTGTTTATGATCAAAATCTCTTGTTTGAAAGACTTTGAAAGTCAGAAGAAGTAATGACCTCCTGAGTTCACTTTCAGCCTGAATTAGCCTAAGATCTCAGAGGAAACTGGTTTTGAATTACTGTGGTTTAAGGACTGTCTCATAGCTCTGTTGATGTTTTGGGTTTCACAGCAGAAAGTTTCTCTTCCTCACAAGGAACCATCTTTTTTGTCACTTGATAACAAGAGACACTTGTGGATATCAACAAAAGCTTCTTCTGGGGCAAAAGTATGGAATTTCCAGTTGCATTTTTAATACCCTGTTGCACTTGAGTTGCTGGGTTAGCCAGTTTCACTTCTTTGCATTTGTGCACTGCCTTTTCAGGAGTGATTGTGAGGTGCCCTGCAGAGATGTGAATTTTGGTGGTGGCACTTTAGTGTGATGGAGCTTATTCTCAGGTTAGTCTTACTGGCTGTAGTTAAAGAAAGAAATCTGCTTTATAGATTTTTATATTTTTTTCTCTCTTATTTTCAATGTACATTGAAATTGTGATTTAATATTCTTTTTAGAAGAGAGTCTCTTAAGGGCTATAACAAAAGTGTAAATGGGTTTCTGGTACTAGAAATGGCAAAATCAAGAAGGGGCTGACGAGATGTGACTCATGTCTTGATTTAGACATACAGTTTTCATCCTGAATTTACTTTGGTGTGCAACATAAGGAAGGTTTCATATTTACCCTCTGCTGTGAACCTCAGAGATCTGGAGCTCTTGGGCAACATGGAAGTGGACACAGTTATGGAAACGTGAGCCCTTTGCACAAGCAACAGAAGCCAATACCAATTTGTTTTAGAGATGAAAAGCAAAACAAAGAAGTTGGGATTACTGCTTTGACACTACACCCACTCAGACTTCAAATGTCTTAAAAGAACTTGCTCAAGGGAAGTAAATTGGACTACTGACATGGGGGTTGTTGTGGATGGTTCTTTGAGATTATCATTCCTGGTTATGGTTAAAGTCAGCTAGTGCACAAGAGCAAGGAGCACCATGACGTACAAGCGTTTTCACCTTCAAAGGGGAGGGCTTCTTTTGGTCATTTTGACTTGGTTTTGGTTTTGTTCCTTCTCCTCCCACATGGAATTTATTGTAAGGATGTTGCAGGATCCAAAATTATGACTAGGTTCTACAAGGAAGGATTGGTCTCCTGGTTCTCTACCATGAGCATCTAAATGCAACCACTGCTCAAGTTCTTGGTCATCCCGCTTCTGAGCACTGGTAAAGTATGCTAGGAAACGTTTACTCATTTCATGTCTGAAATTCTTCCTCATTCATTACCAAGTCCTGTGAAACATAAACATTGGGCTAACTAGACTTTGGTGCATTCTTGTGCCCCTGGGTAACTTGTTTGTTCAAATCACACCTGAGTTTTGTCCTGAAAGGAGGTCTGCAAAGAGCCTAGAAGGGGATAACTTAGAAGAGAATAACTTTGGGTATGTGATTTGATATTCAGTGTAACTTTGAGTTCACTTCTGTTTCTTAAAGGTGGGAATATATCTCAGAGTTACCCTTATTCCTGTTGTCCCTACTGTCCTTTGTGTCTCCTGACATTACTGACTCAGCCCATTCTCCCAAACTGCTACCAAAGTAATAACTAGTGCTGGCTAAAAGATCTTCACCATTAGCTATCATGTCAATACTTAAGCAGTTGTTTGAAAACTGATATTTTTTTGTGTTGTCCAGGGAGCACATAACTATTGACTCTGGCAAAAAGGACCTGTCACCTTTTTGATGAGAAGTTTGGGAGGTGGGAGTTAAAACCAAAACATTTTTGAAGAAGACATTATCGTGTTCCTTTTTGCCTATGTACACATAAAATTTTTATATTGTCAAATATGTGAATGTTAGGAGCTATGTTAGGAGCTATTTCATGAACCAAGAACTTCCTTTCTTCCACAGAGACATCTTAAGAGACAGTAAGCAAAACTCCATCTATCATCTAAGCTACCTTCCTGATGATAAGCTAATAATCACATCTACCAAGGAGGCAGACCCTTTCTTGTGCACCTGCAATTTCAGTGTATCTTGATGTTCCCCCCACAGACACCAGGAAAGATTCTCTTAAGAGCATTTTGGTGTCTCTTATTTCCTGTTGTCCTCTACACTGTGAGGCTGCCTTGAATGGTTTGAGTCTGTGAGAAGCTACTGCAAGCCCACAGCCCACAGGTTTTCTTTGTGAATGCTATTCCCAACCAAAACCTTATTTCCTGTTGTCCTCTACACTGTGAGGCTGCCTTGAATGGTTTGAGTCTGTGAGAAGCTACTGCAAGCCCACAGGTTTTCTTTGTGAACGCTATTCCCAACCACAATCTGGCACATTGGCTGATTTTTATTTTCCTTCAAAGTCTATGTGCTGTTGATAGATTTGACCAAAGCAAATGGGGCTGGCTGAGCCTTAAACTGATTTGCTGATTTATGAATAAACTTGTTCAAAGAAACCATTTATTACCTCATTGCCTCTCTGGTTCCTAGACTGTGAGATCTTCCAACTGTACTTGCAGGATGAAAATAGCTAAGAGCTTCCAGAAGTTAAGTGGCAGGTGAGAGGGGATAGAAGCCCTGCTCTTTTTAGTTGATTCCTTGAAGAGAGAATTGAGATTAAGAAAGTGAATTTAATTTTTCTCAAAAAGTGCCTGTCATAGTTTTTCCTGTCATATAATATGTGGATAAAACCTGTTGGAAGACAAAAAAGTAAGAGCTAAACGAATGAAGCATGAAACCTATGAAAGCCAAGGACCTATTCTGCAACAAGATCAGGGCAGGCTCTTGTACAGAGCCCTAGCCCGTTTCAGTGCTTGTTTATCTGCTCCTGTTGCTCCAGTATCTGAACAGAAAATGCCCTATTCTTTAGCCTAGACAGCAGGATGCTTGACACTTAAACTATGTAAAGCCAAAGGGAAGTTACCTGCACTTCTTTTTGGTTTTGTATATGTGTGTTCATTTGTTTTATTTTTTAATGAAAGTACAATAAGTAAATTATGAAAGGGATCATTGAAGTAGTTGTGGCACTTCTGTGAGAGCCAGTTTGACCTGCTTCAAGCACCTGACTGCAGTGCACAGTTTTGCTGCTTCTTCTCTGCTCTCACTTTCCAGCTGAAGGATTGATCAGCTGGAGAGCAGTGGGAATAGGACAGTTTGTGTCTGAAAACCCCTGGCTGTAGACAGATGCAGCACAAGTGCATGGCAGAGATTTTTGTACCTAAACAGGTGCTCAACCTCTGTGGATGTGGCAAGTTAAAGTGGTAAAAGCAATGTCCTCTTTCACTCCTGAATTTGCATGCTTACCTGGAGACCAGTGCTACTGAGAAAGTCTGCCATGCTCCAGGTAGCTGTTCTGACAGACTTGGAAGTAGTGTTATGCTGCCTTGTCTGAAAGGGCTGTCTCAGAGAATGGAGTGAGGTACTAGAGAGTTGACTACATACATAATCACAGTGAGGCATCACTTCCAAAACACTTCCAGCTACATGATGGAGCAACATAAATCCCATCAATGTGTACATTTTACAAAACTGCATTCTAGTATTTTGCTTTGTACTTCCTGGTGCTTCAGAAACTTGATGAAATCTGAAGAGAAGGTGGTCACTCTTTTTAATCTTATGAATTCTGACGCGAGCTGTGTTTTCAGTGTTGCCTACTCCAATTACATAGTTATAATATTTTTCTCTTTTTGTTTTGGAAGGTAAGGAATGAGGAAGATTTTATTAAGAAACTGGACTGCAGTCCTGACCAGCACCTAAAGGTAGTGTCCATCTTTGGGAACACAGGGGATGGAAAGTCTCACACCCTTAACCACACTTTCTTCTATGGCCGGGAAGTCTTCAAGACATCTCCTGCCCAGGAGTCTTGCACAGTTGGAGTCTGGGCAGCCTATGACCCTGTCCGCAAAGTGGTGGTCATTGATACGGAGGGCCTCCTGGGGGCCACTGTCAACCTGAGCCAGAGAACACGGCTGCTGCTGAAGGTCCTGGCCATCTCTGACCTTGTCATCTACCGTACTCGTGCTGACAGGCTCCACAATGACCTCTTCAAATTCCTTGGTGATGCCTCGGAGGCTTATTTAAAACACTTCACCAAGGAGCTAAAAGCTACCACAGCCCGCTGTGGCCTAGATGTTCCTCTGTCAACTTTGGGTCCAGGTGTCATCATCTTTCATGAGACTGTGTACACCAAGCTACTGGGCTCTGGTGAGTAGGCAATTCCAATTACAATGTACTAAACACTGTGTGTAACCTATCAGGTTGCATTGAATATTCAGCACTCTTTACTACCTTGTAAAAATGTGATTTGGGTTTTGCTCTCACTGGTTTCAGTCTGGGAGCCAGGCTGTGGAACTAGAAGAGCATTCCCTCTTCCAAATCAGCTAGAATAATCCTCTTAGCCAGCTGAACTTCAGCACTGAATAGTAATGAGTTCTGCCAGCCACAGGAGGGGTCATCATACAAATTCATGAGTGTGGGTGATACGGCAGATGAAGGTGAAAACTGATGTGGTGAGTTGACCCTGGCTGGATACCAGGCTGCTCTACCCACCGAAGCTGCTCTATCACTCCCCTCCGTAAGTGGACAGGAGAGAGAAAATATAATGAAAAGTTCATCAGTTGAGATAAGGTGTGGGAGAGATCACTCATCAAATACCATCATGGGGAAAACTGACTTGACTTGGGGATATTAATTGAATTTATTACTGACAAAATCAGAGCAGGGTAATGAGAAGTAAAATAAATCTTAGAACCAACTTTCCCCCATCCCTTCCTCCTTCCCAGCTCTACTTCCTCCCCTGCCAGCCATGCAGGAAGACAGGGAATGGAGTTATGGCCAGTTCATCACACATTGCTCCTGCTGCTGCTCAGGGAGAAGAATCCTTCCCCTGCTCCAGTGTGAGATCCCTCCCATGGAAGACAGTTCTTCATGAACTTCTTGGACATGAGTCTATCCCAAGGGCAACAGCGGCTGAGGCTCAGTCCTGCTGTTTGTGAACATCTAGGAGCCGTCTCTTGTGTAATAAATACCTCAGCAGTCCTGGCTGATCCACATTCTCATTTTGGCTTTTCTAAACAGTGAAGTTTTCAACTAGTAGAAGAACTTGATGTTCTTTCTGGTTATTATTGGAGTAACTTGTTAATAACTTTTACCTATAAGGCAGATCCTTTCTTTATATACCAATTTGCTGATTAGTAATTCAGCCTTTCGTGAAGTTGTTACGTTTGCTGTTTCATCAGTTCAGCCTTTAGTGACCCATGAGGACACTTTGCACCTGTATGCAAAGTCAGGGTTACAAAAAAAATATATTTTTATGGCCACTTCTGATCACAGTAGGAATAGGAAAGAAACCACTTAGCATATATGGATATGCAGAAAGCTGTACCCATCTGTCTCAATGGATAATTTAAGTAAGTGTGTTTATGTAGTTTTAGGACAGGGAAGATGGGGCCTGCCTTATTCTGAAATGTACAGCAGGTGCTTGGAAGTAGGCAGGAGAATGTGGTTGGCTCTGTGGAGTCTGACCTGATATGGCCCGTTCTGAAGTGCTTTGCTATGTACAAACTGTTGATAAAGGCTTGGTCTTCGTTGCTACAGGATTGGCATGGAGAACAGGCAGCCCCATGTAAGGTTCATGTCCTCCACTTATCAGGTGCTAGGAATAGCTATACCAAGTTATGGTCTGGTGAGAAGAACTAACAAATGTGCTGACATTGTGTTTCCTTGTATTATGCCCTAACTTGCTCCTTAATCTGGATATCTATGTTTCAAAATCTAGATGTGTCTGATTTTACCTGAGAAACTTGGTCTTAGAATTTAAAGCTGTGTACCACAAAACAGAGACCGCTTTTGGAAAGTTTCTTTTCTTTTTTTTAAAATATAATGATAACTGCATTCCAGATGTATTAGAAGATTTAATTAAGAAAACTAGGTCTATATTGCATATGAAAGTCCTATGCAATTAAAGTATTGTTTTAAACAATCAGTTGTATATGAACTTGCTGATACTCTTATATGTAGATCATCCTTCTGAGGTTCCTGAGAAGCTCATTCAGGATCGGTTTCGGAAGCTAAGCTGTTTTCCTGAAGCTTTCAGCTCAATTCACTACAAGGGAACAAGGACGTACAATCCTCCAACAGATTTCTCTGGGCTTAGGCGAGCTGTGGAGCAGCAGCTGGAGAACAATACTACTCGGTCACCTAGACAGCCCGGGGTTATCTACAAAGCACTAAAAGTAAGTGAAGAAGAGTTTGTCACAGTGTTTATTTGTACCACTGTTGCTATTAACTCAGCTGCAGCTCAGAAAGGCAGAGCACCTGAAACAGTAATGCAGACTTGCATGCAAGTCTTCCATGAGAATGGTGATTTTGTCTAACAGCCAGGGAGGCTGAGTAGGTTTCTTTTTTTCAAAACAAACACTTCAGTAAAGACCATGGAAGAAAAATTAAAGAGCCAAACTGAGCAAGATCATAAATCGGAGCTGGGAAGAAAAAAGTAACTGATGCTGTGAGTGACAAGCACTTAATGACAGTGATTGACAAAGAGAGACCTTCAAAGGTTTTTTAATAAAATTCATAAAGTTGGCCTCAGCACAAGAGGAGAAAATGCAAGAGACATGGAGAGAGTTAATAGCTGGCAAAAGCTAGCACTGAGTAGTATAACCCAAGGGCTAGGAGGCAAAAAGGAGGAAGGAGTTGTGCGGGTAGGGAACAGGATGGGATCAAGCCAAATGATGTATGACTTTAGAACAAGTGATTTTCTTAGATGGTTCACTTTGCTAGGGTGTTGGAGGGATTTTTGGGTCTTTAAATTTGCAGTCTTTCCTTTTCCACATAGTACTGCCTGATTAACATCATATTTTCTTTGGCCTGAAGAGCACAGTTGTCATTGGGGAGGGGCAGGCAGAGCCAGGGCATATCTGCAGAAGGAGGTAGTGTTAGCAGTCTTTTCTGGTGTTAGTCACAGCTGTTGGAACAGATAATTCTGGCTGCTCTGCATTAGTGGTAGCTGAAGCACAGAGGGAAGTGTCAGGATGGCATGTAGTCAGTTCTTTGCATTTGGGAGCAGACAGGCAGCAAGGGGGAAAACAGTTGGAATCATTAATTTTAATTTAACTTCTAGGATGTTATTGCAATTATCAAGTAGCCTGGTTTCAGATATAGCTGCTGGTGTACTTAAATTCATGACCAGTGAAGTGTTTGCTGTGTTCAAATCACTACTGACTACAGATCAACTTCTTTTGCTTCACTTGCTGAGGACACAAGACTTTTTAGAGGTTTCTGTCCACTTCCTCTAACTTTTGAGTTCATTCAAAAGTATCAGTATCAGTCAAGCTTAAAAGAGGATGTAAAGCAAATTTCCTTGAAATTATGTGAAATAAAATGTTTAAATAGAGTACTTATCTGAGGGAAGCTGTGGTAAGATAGGTACACACAAGTCTGTGTGTGTGTGCAGTCAACCCTTGTTAGACAGCAAAGATACACCCACTCCACCTACCCCAGCCCTGTGAGAGGAGGAGCAAGAGAAAGGCAGGCAGCCACTATATAAAACTCAGCTGTAGGAAGAGTTTCAGCTAGATCTCATGCCTTCAGAGGACTCCATCAAGAAAAACTAACCATTTGCTTTGTTCCAGTGTTTTTTTTTTTTTTCCCTTAAACATAACACCTGAAAGAACCTAAAAAGTTGAGTGTGCCAAGACTAAGGATTGATTTAATCTGAGAATGGATGTTCCTAGGAAAGGGTACAAATTCCTTTGTCTCAGTTTTGCCAATTCACCAGAGAAGTTTTTTCCTGTTATTTTTATTGCTTAAACAGTATGAACAATCCTAAAGCATACATCATGGAGTGGGACTGTATTCAGTGACTAGGTCTAAGTGGAGCTCCATATTTGATTAGATCTTGGCTTCTAGCTCTCTGGAAAGAGCCCCAAGGTTGAGGCTGGAAGGGCAGTAGATGGTAGTCTGTGCTTTGAGTCTGGGGGCTGTATAGCAGCAGAATGTTGTGGCTGGTTATGCTTCTTTTCTGATGCTGAGCGTTTTCTGCAGTGAATTGTTGTGTGGTGCTGCTTTGTATGGGAAACAGTTGCTACACCTCTTTCTGAAGAACCTGCCTTTCAATAATAAATTATGTCATTGCTCTATGTACAGTTGTGAAGATGGTTTGAGGGCACATAATCTATAAAAATGTAAGATAGCAGTAAAAATGAAATCTTTGTGACATCTATCCTGTGTCTAAGAGCAACAACTCATGTATTGCTCTTGCATAATCAGGTGTGGCTGTAAGAAGAGCATGAACCATGCAAAGGAAGGAGTCCCTCATGAATCCAAAAGTCGATGCAGATATTCTCACCAGTATGATAACAGAGTCTACACTTGCAAGGTGAGATATAAGGACAAGGTCTGAAGAATGAAAAAGGAAAGGATGACCAAGTAAATGAGGACTATCACAGGCATGTGCCTGTTTTCTTCCTTTTTTTGTTTTTAATGTCAGAGGTGCTCATAGCCTTGACAAGAAAAATTGATCCTTATTGGACTTGTATGTTTGCTTGGAGAGTTCATCACCTCTGTGTGCTATGTGTCATTTTCTAGCTAAATTTCGAAGCTGGCTGCTGTTAACCTGGGTGATGTTGACCTTTTATATATTTGACATAGTTACTCTTATTTGCTTATGCCCAGTGCTTGGTATTAGCCAATTTTTCTTAAGGATCTGTGCAGGAGACAGGAAAATTTTTGTCTACAGTCATGGTCTTTATTGATGTAGAAATACTTCCCTGATGTTATTATTGATAGTGGGTTTGGTTTTGCTTTGTTTTTAAGTGAGTTCTGATGAGTGCTCCTTTGCTGTGGACCTCTGTATGCTAATTATATGCTTTATGTGGCCAAACAGCAGCCAGATGTAAATTTGGATTCCCAATATTGTAGTTTAAATTGAGCCTTTATGTTGTAGGCCTGTTATGAACGAGGGATGGAGGTCAGTGTGGTGCCAAAAACCTCTGCTTCCACGGATTCCCCTTGGCTGGGCCTTGCCAAGTATGCCTGGTCAGGGTGAGTACTGCAGTTGGGATCTCTCTGCTCTCTTGGTCTCTGTGCTGCCTGGTGCATGGGACTTGCCAGAGAGGTGACCTGTCCTCCTCCTGTGCAGGTACGTGATCGAGTGCCCCAACTGCGGCGTGGTGTATCGCAGCCGGCAGTACTGGTTTGGCAACCAAGACCCTGTGAACACTGTAGTGAGGACAGAAATTGAGCATGTCTGGCCAGGGGTAAGTCTGGTTGCTGGATAGTCTTTGTGTATGTGTGCAGCCATGCACATGCTAATTTGGTTCTTCTGGATGTTGATGGAGAAAATAGATTGCCTTTCATTAAGTTGGTCCCTGCTATTCAAAAGAGACTTTGCAAGGGCTTTCAGACATCTTTTGGCTATCTTGAAATGGCTAAGTTGCCAACCTACTTCTGTCTTTCAAAGCAGGGCTGGTGAATCTTTTACTCCTGCTTGCCCTCCAGTTTATCAGGAGTAATGGGTTGCAGAGTCATCTGAATCTACAAAAAAAGGTTTCCCTGTTTTTGTTCTCAAATCAGTATCTGTTTCATTCCAGACTGATGGATTTCTGAAAGACAACAACAATGCAGCCCAGCGTTTGTTGGATGGCATGAATTTCATGGCTCAGTCAGTATCTGAACTTAGCCTGGGACCTACAAAAGCTGTGACCTCCTGGTTGACAGACCAGATTGCCCCAGCTTACTGGAGACCCAACTCTCAGATTCTGGTAAATAGCAGCTGCTGGAGAGAAAGGCTTTGCCTGGCTAAAACCCCTTTTCCTTACTCTTTAAGTAATAAAGTATTTTGCAGATTCTATACACTTCTTTGTTTTACTGCAGCAATTCCTATTCCTTCAACTTTGAGAAACTGAAGTGCTCTCTCCTATTCCCATTCTTATCCAAAGAAATTATGAACAGAGACTTGGCCCAGCCCTCATAAAGAGATGGTTTCTCCCTGCTCTTTGTGAACTACTATCCCAGCAATATTACAGAAAATCCTGGCTTGCATGCATTTGTTTTTCAAAGCAAATAATCAGCATCTTAAATCTGGCCACTGCAGTTGATGGTACTATTTTTATAGATTAAACTCTGGTTTCATACCAGGTGCAAAAAGCTGACCCAAACAGTTCAACTAGGAAAGGATTCCCTTTGTCTTGCGGGAAACAGATTCTTCTTCAATGAAAACTGCCTTCTGAATTCTTACTCCACACAAAGGTCAAATATCCATCATTCAGCCCTGCATGATATGACTGTGTTTGTGATTGTGAATGAAGGGATTATAGCAATGTATTGGCTTAACCGATATACACCTACTGTTCTAAATCACTTCCCTGGGGTAAAGTTATGGGGCTGTTAGCACCCATGTCTTGTGTGTAACTGCATTTTTCAAAATTTCAGTCTGAAACTTGCCATCCTGGGCTTCTGCTCTCTATTTTTTACTTCAGGAAGATCAAATTAACAGTTCTTCCTTCTGTGTTGTTCTGATTAGAGCTGTAAGAAGTGCAACACACCTTTCAAAGATAATGACACAAAGCATCACTGCCGGGCCTGTGGAGAGGGCTTCTGTGATGGCTGTTCTTCCAAGACCCGTCCAGTGCCTGAGCGAGGCTGGGGACCAGCACCAGTGCGCGTGTGTGACAACTGCTATGACAACAGGGGCATCCAGTTAGGTAATCTTGAGTTGATTGTGAAAGAACTATCCCTGAGCACTGAAGTCTTTGTCCCTAGTTTCTGGATCACAACCATTTTCCGTGGATGTAGACAGTGTTGTTCACACTGGGTTTCCAAACAGTTTTTGGTAAGGAAGTGACGAGCTCAATGCCTTTTGGAAGAAAGATGACCTTACCAGACACCTGAACTGCTGACAAAATTATTTTCTAATTGTATCTTTACTTTGTTTTCCTAACAACTGCTAATGGTCTGGTGCTAGAGCAGGGGTGCTTATGTTACAGCAGACTATATATTTTGTCCATTTTTGCTAAAATGAACACTCTGCAATCCAAGATTGTGGATGGGGAACATAAAGGCTGAGGAGAGATCACAACTTGCCTTTTGGGTTTGCTGCTGGTTTTGTTAATGTAAATTAACTGAAATTTGGCTGAAAAGGTGTGGACTTAAGTGTTGAGCCCTTCACTCTTGTGTCATGCAGATGTGGCTGAATTGCCTTCAGATGAGGAAGGGGGTACACTTATTGCCAGGAAGGTGGGGGAAGCTGTGCAAAACACCCTTGGAGCGGTGGTGACAGCCATGGACATTCCCTTAGGTGAGTTCTCTTCTGTTCTGATGGTGTTTTTTTGTCTAAAGGCATTTTTGTTTTCAAAGAGCAAAAGTTGTTATTAAACTTCAAAAGCTTGTGTGGCAGGCTGGCACCTCTGCTGTGATACCACTGTTTGTTGAGAGTTCTACAGCCCTCTGGACCTTTTCTGCTTGATGTTTCCTCTTGGTTTTCAGCATGTTGTTTCTGCAGTTCACACTTTCTCTTTTTACCCTATTATGCAAAACTGTGCACCACGCTGTGAGTAATTCATGCTCCTCTGATGGTTTCACTGCAGTGACCTGCCATTTGAAGTTCCCTAAAGATTGGCCAATTAGGAAACATTTTATCAGGTTGGATTTTCTTTCAGAGATGCTGAGTGCTTTTTAAGTGTTTTCATGATACTGCTGGTACTTCTTGGTACTTTTGAGGGGAGGGCTGAGAATTTGAAGCTGTCCAGGTTGGTAAGGATGAGGAAGGAATTAGTAGTCTGATCTTTCAGGGTGAGCTTAGTGCAGGGAACCTCTGCTGCTCTTTCTTGTGTTGGGTGGCAGTTTAGGTATGTCAGCAAACATTTAACATTTGAATCTTCTGTTGTTGCACCTGACTTCCTACTCATTGCGCAGATCATTGTTCAACTGCTTTGCCTACAGCATGTCCAGCCTTCACCTTTGTGGGTGTTTGCTCTCTGACTCAATGAAGGGCAGAATAGATTCTTTTCTCAGTTCAGACAGTACATGCATTTCTGAATATTTGGTTTGGTCATTTGATGGTGTTTTTGGCTACAGCTGAAACTGAAGGTAGGGAAAAGCAAATGTCTTAACTCTGGAAGAGTCTGAGAAGGGCAAGATGCCACTATTAAAAGAGATACAGTTTACTCTTTGAAGAGAGGCAGAATGTGGGAGAATGGTAGAATGCCCTAAATGGCCACTCATTGCACTGAAGGATTCTGTCAGTAGGTCACGTCCCCCTTAATGGCAGCGGTATGACTTGCAGTGTGTGAGTGCCTCCACTGGAGTACGGTCTTGCTATGCTCATGTTCATGGATTTTGTTCTCCCTCTTTCTCATCCCCACACCTCACTTCCTCCCTAGGTCTGGTAAAAGATGCTGCCCGGCCTGCATACTGGGTACCAGATCATGAAATCCTGCACTGCCACAACTGCCGGAAGGAATTCAGTATCAAACTCTCCAAGCACCACTGTCGGGCCTGTGGCCAGGGATTCTGTGATGAGTGCTCACATGACCGCAGAGCGGTTCCCTCTCGTGGATGGGATCACCCAGTCCGAGTTTGCTTTAACTGCAATAAAAAGCCTGGTGACCTTTAACCCCAGGCTGCTCTCCAGATCGTTGCAATTCCTTATGTTCTCAGGGTTACAAATGAAAATACCTGATCTCCCTTTCACCTTCTAACCTGTTGCAGCCAGAGTGCATGTTTCCAGTTTCTGGCCTCCTCTCGTGTTATATCCATCTTGGAACACTGGGAATGAGCTTACATTCAGCCTCTAGGTTTTAATTTCCAATTAACTGGGAAAGGGAGGGAGCTCCCTTGTAAATGAGCAACCCAAAATCCAGTGTATTTTATTCCAATTAAAAAAAAAAAAAACAACTCTATATATATATATATATCAACTATGTATAATTTAGTATATTAAGAATATGGTTGAAAATGAAGCTTTGAGTATTCCTAGTTCACATGATGGATGGTGGTGTTCCTTACTGTGTTGGATCAGAGTTATGGCCTTCTAATTCTTCTTTTGGAATGTCTTGCTGATCATGATGTCATGTGAGGAAGGTTTGGACTCTGCTGCCAGGAATCTCCAGTGTTGATATATGAATTACACCTGGTAGTTCAGCCAACTCTGCATCTAGAGGTGCTGCTCTTCTGGCCATGGAAGATTAAACCCAGATTTATTAACAATTTTGTTTGAACTGATATGAGCAATGGTCTTGCAGTGCAAGAGGTATCAAGTTAACACAGACTCCCTGGCAGAGACCGGTAGAGCTCTGAAAGGTAAAGCAAATCCTATGGCACGAGGCAAAGCATTCTGATCTTGCCATTTCAACTTCAATACCAGATCAAAAGGTAGCAGGGTTTTTCTCTCTCTGACAATGTTTTCATGTACTCAGGTTTTCTTCAAGTTTCTCTGTAAGATCATTGCAGTTAGAAGTTTTGTCTGGAGCAGAAGAGAACAAGTTTTGTAGGCAATTCTGCGATACAAAGTTTGAGTTGTTTCGGTTGTGATGACTTTGCTTTTCCCCCACTTTTTAAGTGATCTTATAGTCTCTGAAGCCTCTGTGTTCTCAGATATGGTTACATAGAAACTGCACAGATTTGTCTTAGTTTCTTCTAATAATATGAACTTACAAATCAGCCTGGAAAATGGGAACCTTTCTTCTTTGCTCCTAGCAACTGGCACTCACTGGACTTCATCCTTTTATGAAAGGACTGCAATGAATTCACTGATTTTATTATGAAAAGCACCACTTTACCTAACTTATACTGTCATGTACTGTGGATTTGTGGTTCCACTTATAAGAAGTATGAGACCATTGTGGATTAAACTGCCTAAAATTCTCCCTTCTTGGCTTACATAGACAAAAATTCTTTCACCACATGAGAGTTGCCTCCTCTTGGAGTGGCTGGAGTTTAATGCAGTGTCCTGCAACTGTGGTATTTTTTTCCCCAGCTTAATAAATGTGCTCTTGTGTGATGAGATGCCCAAAACCCTGTTTTAAGATTGTATTATTAAATTAACTGCTATAAAGAACTTTATCTTCTGAACAAGTGTACTGACTTTCCTTGTAACAAGCGGTTCTCACTTTGTCTCTGAAAGACCATGCTCACAAAGTGTTTGTCCCTTCACAACTACATCCAGCCTACACAAGGAAGTAGACTTAGAAGATGTTCCAGGACACCTTCGGTACTGGCCAAGTTTACTGCGGACTGTCTTATGTTTTTGTAAGCAAAAGTCTGCCATAAACTGACTGTTGTCCAAGTAAGGGCATGAGTAGGTAGAAATCCTCTCTTAAAAGACATTCTGTACATCTAGCATAATTCTGTGCTTCAAAGTATTCTTTATTTTTTTAATGGGTGAGCAATGTGTTCTTGGTTTGTAGGCTGTGGCCTGTGTGCTGTTTATGCATGTAGCTTTACTACCATGTTAATGCACAAAGAGAAAGCAGCCATGACATTCCTTGTATAAAATCTTTGGCATCTGTTTCAACAACTTGTCTGATTTTTTTTTTCCTTGTCAAAGCAACAACTACTACTCAATCAAAAGGAAAATGTTGTATAAACATTTTTAATATATATGTGGTCTTAGTAACTTAGCAATTTGTCAGTATCAGAGTCCATTCTTCTTGACAGATTATTCTGGACCTGAATCTTCTATGATGTTTCTCTATAAACCAAAGTCTTATGTGGTGCTTGAACTGCAGGCTTGGTGTAACTCTTTCTGGAGTATGCTGAGAGGTGTATTTGAGATCTTTGTTTTCCAAAATGAAAAAAAAAAAATCTAAGGCTTAAGTTCCCTGCTGTTTTCTGTACAGAATAGTGCTTGTTTTTCTGGTACTGTTTGGTGCTGTGAGTACACAGTATAGAATACGGTTATTAAATGGCTTAGTTACTGAAAGGGGATAGGTGTTGGCAGAGCCCAATTCTATTCAGTGTTAACACATTAGGATTCAATAAACAAAAGAGCCCTAAGAGATGTCTGTGGACAGAAAGCTTTACAGAAAACATGAAGGAAATGGAAGTCCTGGGGGGAAAAAAATATCTCCAAAGCATCATGAGAGCATGTTGTGTTTGGGGTCGGACTGTCAATAGAACCTGTGAGAGTTCTATTCCTGACCTATTAGGAGAGATGCTTTGTGTTATGGGTAGCACCAACCAAGAGTGAGTTTTTGGAAAACCTATCAAAAGTTCACAGCAACATTGCTGGAGCTATGCAAGGGGACAAACTGTGAATTTCATAGTGGCACCATGAGACAGGTCCAATAGTAATGCAACTCCTGTGTGAAAAAGTCTTCTGTATTGACAAGGACAAAGATAGAAGGAGACTGTTTTTCAGGAAATTTCTAGAAGATCATTACTTTGTGTGTTACACTGAAGAGAAATTACCATGAAGTTGTAGTTGGTCAAGATGATAATATGTCCCTTGGGTCAACTGAAGTTCACTGTAATGTTAATATTTTAGCAGTTCAAATTGCCACACTTACTTGGTAGGATAATTAATTAGTCTCAATTGGTCTGAGATGTGACACGATAAAAGCCTGTTCTGAGTTAGACTGAAGCTGACTGATGTAAACCTCTTGTCAAAAATTATGTCAGATTGATTATTGACAGATCAAGTAGCATCTGCACCTCTTACAATTAGGAAATGCTATGGAAAACATTGAGTAAAATAACAATCACATGAACTAGCCAATGTGCAGAGATATGTACCAGTGAAAAACTGAATTCCTTATCCAAAGCATCATAAAACAAGTCTAGACTTGTTGATTGCTCTATTCTGATGGATTTATTTCCATTATGGGTACATATGGCAATTCAGCATGAAGGTTCACCTTCAAATAGATGATGTGGGTTTCCCAATCATCTTGTGAAGCAAATAGATGTAAGCTTCATATAGATGTCAACACTTTTACTTAGACTCCCTATCCAAACCCTGTAGGCCATTCTTGGCTTAAATGTGTACCCGGTGCATGTTGCACCGGAGACTTTCAGCCAGGGGACAGATGGTGGAGCAGCATGGCTGCAACATGAAGCTGTTGTCAGGGCAGGAACAGGCTCTAAGCTGGAGTTACTTGCACAAGAAAAACTGCTTTGTCCTTCATTCACTGCCCTCCCCCACTTCCACCCCCTGCACTGGTTTTCCTGTTCATTTGTTCTGCCCAGTGCCTTGCAGGTGAAGTTGCACAGGCTCAAGTTGGCCAAGGTATCCTGTACATTCCTGTCTGTGTCCCTTGGGAATTGGACCTTTGGTTGTGTTCTGGAAGACAAGACAACCCTTGCTAGCTTTTGATGTCAACAAGAGTTTGTGGAAATAAACACCATCCTTAAGTTACATCTGCCTTGCATTTATGCCAGGTGTCTGCTATGACTGTGCAGAGACATTCACAAATGCCCCTTTTGCTTTGGGAGCCTGGGCTTTAACATTGAAGGACTCTGGCTTCCCCACCTGGTTCTACAGACTTTGTTGTCCTTATTTTTGCTTTCAGCATAACCAGCCCAGTTAGGTTTAAATACTGATATAATTCAATTTTGGCAGCCTCTCATCATTTTCATGTTTCATTTGTCAACTGCCATTGTCAGTTACTGTAATGCCATGTATTGTGGCATTGTCTTTGCATTTAATTATCACTGATGGCTGTAATATAATTTGGCACCAAAAAATATGTCTGCCTGGCAGTAATTTGAGAACAGAGAGCGATTTGGACAAGTGGTAGAACTGTCTGCTTTTTGTCATCCAGGTTTCATCCCCATCCCCTACTTTAGATGGGCACTCTTTCATGGCAAAGCAATGCTGACATATATATTCTGTCAGTAACAGTACATATATTATGTCATAAAATGCATTTGTTTGTAGTGCAGGTACATCAAAAATGAAATCATGTCAATGCCAAAATAAATAAAAATTTGCTATGAGGGCTTTCAAAATCAACAGTATAATGTGACAAAGCTGAAGTAGAATGGCAGCTAGTTAGTTATCGCAAGCCAAAATTAAATTGCATTCAGGTTTTTGACTTCCTTTCTGTTGGATATAACTCAAGCAAAAAAAAAAAAAAAAATACCAGTGAGCTATATATATATACGTGGAAGTCCATATAGGAGGTGTTTTAATTGTGGCATTACAGAAGTCCTAATAGTTCTAACTTCAAGAATGCCAGAGATTTTGAAACATACTGATTTCTAATGTTCTGAAAAGCTGGTTAAATATTTCTGTTTCTGCTTAAAAGGCAATTTTTCAGCAGCACTGGAGAGAAGCAGGTGCATATGTCTGATGGTGATGTGCAGATGATGACTTGTCAGGAAGGCAAGGCATCAAAGTTCTTCACAGATACCATGATACCAACAGATAGGAAAGAAGTTGTTTCAATAAGAAAAAGCAGGTGATCTTGATTATATTTTCAGACATTACCTGAAAAGGTTTATCAATTTTGCCTTGGCTTCCATTTTTGAAGTATTACACTGATTAGTAAAGGGCTTTAAACAGTTGGGTCAAGCATCTCTCAGCCCCCAGGCCCTCACCCCAAAACCCCTGTCTAGAAAGTACATTGGGTTGGTGTTGACTGCTGGATTCAGCTGACAGTATATGTAGTAGATACAGTGTGTGCAAGCAGCCACTAGTGACTGAAGGTTGAGGGTCTAAAGCTGAATTCTCCACTGCTAGATTGTAACTTTTCTGAAAGCAGCTTCTGTAAGGGGATACCTGAGACTATGCACATAGTTGGGTTTGAATGCTCCCTTTCTCATAAAAAAAAAAAATTATTTTCCAGTCCTGTTAGAATAGGTCCCTCTTAAACTTAAAAATGCAAAAATGACAGTGTGAATTGGTGACTAGTAAATTGAATTTTTTTAACCTCTTAGTTTCAGTATTCATCAGGATAATAGAGGAGAAATGACCATGCATGAATGTACTGCAGTAAATTGGGACCAACAGAAAGATGTGACCGACACCACCACAGAAGACCCAAAAGCAAATCTCCTCCCTGCTTTAGAAATTTCAAGTTAAAATTGAAGTTTTTCTGCCTGTTATGTCTTTAGCTCTTATGTGACCTAAAGGAGTTTATGTGTAAAGAGCTTTATTAATCAGGGTTGAGAGATGACTGATAGCAGCAGGGGACATGGAACAGAGCAAGGGTGAGACTGTGGCTTCTGAGAGAGTGGTGTTGATGGGAGGCACTGGCAGTTTGGCCAGTGAGGAGAGCTGGGTAGGCTGTGCCATGCTTCAGGGAACCAGTGGGACCAAGGAAATGGTGTCTGCTGGATGAGGGATGCTGCAACCTGGCTTGGAGCTGGCTGGCCTTTCTGAAGTTTCCCACTAGTTCAGTCCTTGCTGAGAAGCAGAGACAAAGAAATACAGTGTTTTGATACTGTAGCAGACAGGAAGAGTGTTGTGGTTCCTTTTTATCTGCCTTAGGGCCCCACTGTTGCTGCGTGATGAAAGAGATGATTTAATATACTTTAGCTGTTGCCTGTAAACTGCTTGCTGTTTATTACTGGAGCCAAATTGCCTCTCTTCTTGCCCTGCTTGCCCTCCTTTTTTTAGTCCTGTTGCAGGCTTAATTAGAAGTGTTGGCTGCAAAAGCACTAGTTGGGTGAATGAGTTTGCAAGGGACGTGTGTGCACTTGGTTCCTGGAAACAACAGAAAGGAAATTATTTTCTTTTGTTGTATGAATTTTCCCTCAAAAGAACATAGAGATGAAACTATCTTCAGTTATGTAAGATGCCTTTCAACCACAATTCTTAGGTTGTGCTTCCCACGGTAACTGGACATAATTGTTGCATGGAGCTGTTCTTGCAGAACAGGAATTACTAGAGTTAAGAGCACTGAAAGAGTCTAAATTCTATTTAAATTTTTGAATTAATTTTGCTTTAAGGGATTTCATTATCTTTGTAGGTTACTACCTGAAAATGTTTGAACCACACATTTACTAGCAAGAAGATCAATATATAGTATGTTGCAACTGAATTATCAGATGAAATATTAGGACTTTGCAGTGGGATGGGGTTAATATACTTCTGTTTTCTGAACAGATGCTTAGTTGCAGTATGCATTATTAACTAAGGCAATGCAAAATGCTTTTTCTGTGTGCATTTATCATTGTGCATGCAACAGAAAATGTCAAAAATTAACATAACCAACCAGGACAAATTGTGGAATATTTTCTCAAATTGAAAAGCCAAGCAAGTGGGTACTAGGTAGTACCTTTCAAAAGGTATTAGAGGGAATGGGAACAGCCTGCAAGGCTTACCATTTAGGAGAGGAGGAGACCACCGTGTCTCATAAACACTGTCTGTGGAAAGAAGGACAGCACAGAACTTATGCTGTGAGCAGCACCCAGTCTATTTTGTGTGAGAAAGAAGGCTCTGCAGAGGAACACTAAACCCACAGGTATGAGGGGAACCATGGTTGTAAGGAATTAACAGCTCAGTCTGCCCATGGGAAAACACAAGTTGGCTGTTAATGCGATAGAAGAAAGATTTGGGGGGTTTGAATG